GGTGTCTTTGGATAAGGGTCATGATGAATAACCAAACTCACCTGCGAAAAAAAGGGAGGAGAATAAAAAGCACAGGCAGTCTCAAACCAGAGGTCGAGGGCAGCTCACCAGTTCGGGGGCACTGAGCTGCTAATAAAAAGCACAGGCAGTCTCTCGGAGAGGCTCCTGACTCTATCTCTGCATCTTTCTTTTTCTTCATCCTCACTCCCCCATTCAGGTGCTGTTCGACAAGTGACGCCTGGCTCCATCACGGGTGGCGCCCAAACAGGGACCTGAATACGGGGGACCAAGTGAAGGACCCCGGGGATCGTGAGCTCGGATAAGTAAATGAAGGGCGGTGAATACACTCGGGAGTAACAAGATGGGTATTGGTAATAGCCGAATGCTTTTTGAACATATGCTTCAAAATATGCTTTGCGCTTGTGGAGCAAAGGACGCTGAAGGTGCCAGGTGGCTGCCTGAAAGATTGGTCCGTTTTGCGGGAAATTCTCCTGCCCCTGAGGAGGATCCCGACAACTGTCCTGCTGATAAATCTAATGATGACGCTTAATGAGAAGGTTTATTGGACTTATGTACCTGATCCACCTGTTGTACATCCAATGAGCTGAAAAAATGGAGAAGTAATGGTATGGGTGAGCAATACCAGGCTGTTGGATGAGCCGGCGGCACCTGACAAGAACGAGGTCCGATTGTTCAACTATACGGGATCAGAAACCGGAATCCCCATATGTTTCTTCAAAATCAACAGAACTGATTGTATAAGACTGAGCGCTCACACCCTGGCAGGAAGGCAGGTAGATCAATGCAAAGGCGGGATCACTGGAGTCCATCTACATCTACCTGTGGGTATAGAGACCACTGGTGTAGTGCCTCAGACTTTTAATGCTCCAATGGGACTGTTCCATAGAAGAGATGTGTGGCACATGCCCCTGTGAGATATAATATTACTGGATTTGATACTTACGTTTTGGACTGGTCTGAAAATTCTTGTCACCCCCGAAAGAAATGTCACTGCATATGTCATGGGCTCTTAGGTATTGTTCGTAGGAAATATTAGTGTTCAGAAAGATTATGATTATTATAATGTAATTTACTTCAATTGTCAAATAAGCAATTGTGTCACCCGAACAGAAAATCAGATAATGGTTTTGCGAATGTGTTCTTAGATTTGGATATTATAGATCTCCAAAGTGCAGAACCCCTAAAATTTGATGCAGCCCAGGCTGCACAGGATTTTATCGAACCAATTAGAAAAGTTCTGCCATCTACATCTGCATTTACGTGGTAACTCATTTCCATAGTAATTATTGGAGGAGGGCTGCCTCTTAGATGCAGGATCCTTCCGGCGCTACTACAGATGTTTATGCATTCTTTAATGAGGATGGCTGGAAGTATTCATGGTCTACAATTACATGCTACACCACCTAAACCCATGGTGTAATTCCCTGCAGAGGCTGATAGTCAATGACGGGTAAGAGGAATACAGGAAATCACCAACCTAAGACAGAGCAAGAGTACTGTGACGCTCTTGACTCCATGACGGGTAAGGGATTTCTTTATATTCCTCACCTAAGACAGGCACAGCCTATCTGCGTGATCAAGGGACCTAGATCATAATATATAAAAGGGAGAGATGTGGAAAGCGGTGTTAGCCATAGAGGCTCCATGTTAAATCTTACCCTCCATTGTATAGAGCAAGGAGACTATGTTAAGAGGAACCGCATCCTTGTCAAATTAGATGTTTACCTTCAGAAGAACGTCTTGTAAACCTGAGAAACAAGAAAGCCCATGAGGGTGGGGAATTTCCAAAGAACTAGAGAACAAGGAAGCAGGTGTCTTTGGATAAGGGTCATGATGAATAACCAAACTCACCT